TGATCTCCTCCTGGATCTGGGAACACCAATTTGCATAATTCATGCTAATTCTACATGATTTATGCTAATTTACCATTATGATAATTCATGCAGCTTGGTTGTTAAATGAAGGTTCAAATTTTTGTCATGCCATTTGTAATTAGAATTTTTGCTTCTTGTACTGTAGAAAAGTTTCTGCTGAGAATCTAGTCTGCAAGATATTTCATGGGGAAAATGTGAAGAAAGGACAACATTACTACGTAGTATTATATCATTCTAGTGGATATGCTTACAGTTTGATTACTCAAACAAAAAAGGCACATGAATAAAGACGTTCCTACCTCTTCAATTTCATCATGAAGCTTCTCCAGCTCATTGTTCTGCTCATTCACGTAGTTGAAAAGTGCAAAGTTTCGATCCTCCGCTGTAGAAAACACAGAAAAATTAGGATCTACAGAATGGAAAAAAAACTGACAGCTCTCAAACTTTTAGAAAGTCAAATTTCAAGTAACAAAATATCAGACTCTACTATCTGAAGACTCATTACTTTGTTTTTGATGGAAGTCAAATACATTTGTATTTTCAAATTTACAGCAAAATAGATCACTGTTCCTCACTCTCAATAAACTTTTCCACCAGGAGATCCAGGTCTTCTTCCCCTGTGACTTCACGAATCTTCATGAAAGCTTCTTCGTAGGTCTCCACACTTTCCTCCTTAGCCTCCTTCTTCTTACGCTCTGCTTCCTCCATCTCTGTTACAAAATGCACAAAGAAGTGTAAAAAAAAAAGAAGCGTCAACACAACAAAATCTTTAAAAAAACCGACCCTAATTTCTTTCAGGACTGAAACCAAATATTTTTCTTCCTAAGCCCTACAGCCATTCGATTGATTGATTGAGACTGACCCCTCTTAATCCTCTGTGCCCGTGCCTGTTCGTCCTCCTCCCTCTCCATGGTCTTGATGCCCATGAACTCCTTCAGCTTCCTGTCGTGGTCGATGACCCGCTGCAGCTCCTTGGTCTCCTGCGTGTGCTGCGCCAGGTCCTTGTCTGCCTTCTCCTTCAGCAGGATCATCTTGGCCTGCGCCTCGTCGCGCGAGTCGTACGCCGCCGTGGAACTCTCGATGGTCTCCCCGATCTCCTTCCTGGTGTCTTTCAGTTCCTAGAGAACCAATAAAACCATTAGACAACGGGCATGCTTGTGTAGGCAGACCTTGCACAGCCTACATACATCACCTGTGTGAAGATGCAGTTTGCAGACTAGAAGACCTGCCCAGTACTATGGAGGATAGCGCTATGGGCTGGCGGAAAAGAGTCCTGAACAACTGTGAAACTCTCACAACTAGATGATGATGATGATGAGACAATGGAATATCAATGTGATAACAATGGGATTTAATCTAGCAACCATAGCAAAATATTCTTTCAACTTTCACAAAACATTCATTGGTAGAATGCACTAAGATGCTACTACTCCCTCAACAATAAAAATTACATCATCTTACCTTGTCCAGTTTCTTGAACAGCTGCTCAAATCTGGCCCTCTCAGTCCGGAGACTGTCAATCTCCTCCCTCAGTTTTGCATTCCTTGTCAGTGCCTCATTGAAACCCTTCGTACTCTGAAACATATACGACAATCATTTCACAACAGCTATATGAATCAGAGGAAATGTGGAGCAAAAAAAATACTCAAAAATGTCATTTACCAAAAGGAATAAATTTTTGTTATACTCAAAGAATATTTTCCCAACATTTTTTTTTAAACATCATTGGACCACTTACCCTGTCCAGTCTGTTCTCCAGGACCCTCATCTGCTTGCGAACCTTGACCTCGTGCTCGCGGCCGATGTTGCTGCCTCCCATCGACTTCCGCTGGCTGTCCACTTTCCTTTCCCACTTACGGATCTGTGGGGCAAGTTTATTGGAAATATTCAATGGTACTGCAACTTTTTCACAATAATGCAATGATAAGCATATACAAATCTTGGATCCCTTTACAAATGTGTGAGTCATGTTTGATAAACTGATGAGAAATCCAACAGGAATCCATAGTTACCTCGATGTCAAGTTCAGCAATTCTCTCCTTTTCAGCCTCAATGGCTGATCCATATTCATCTGCAATGACAACAATATATGATTAAAAAGTGCACTTCACTCAATATAATCTTTAATCTCAGATGTAAAAGGTTTTATGACATAAAACATGTACCAGTAACTTTCTAACTGCCTAAGCAATACTACTTTTGTGCCAAAAGGCTGTCTCAGTATAGAAAGGGTTGAGCAGCAAGATTACTGGCTGGTGATCTGTAAGACAGCACCTTTAGCAGCCACCAGGTTCTTCAGGACGTCCTTGTTTTCCTCATCCTTGACCTTGTTGAATTTGCTGCGGGACAGCTTCAGGTCCTTGAACAGCTCGTTCTGTTCTGCCTGCAGCTTGTCAATCTCAGCCCTAAACAACAACAAGAACAACAACATTGATATCCGTGACGTCCCTGAGACATCATCAAAAAGTGGCATCTTAGTTATTCTTCTTGCAGCTCACTATTAAATACATGTACTTCATAAAATGAAAAACGCATCTGATTTGGTCACTGCAAAAAACAAAAAGATCAACAGCATTGCAATATACTTGACAGTGAACATAATGTTGCTTTATTATTATCTACTAGCATTATACAGTTCATCATGCATGTACTGACTATCTCTGAAGGGTCTTTTGGAAATCCACCCTACCTTTGTCTGCGAATCAGATCCTGTGACTCCACGCTGTATGCCTGACGATCCCCCTCCATAATACGGTACTGCCGCTGTAGCTTCGCCAGCTCACTTTCAGCTGAAAAAAAGTTTAAGGAAATTATGGAATCAATGTTTTGTAAGTTGATGTGTGTTAAACAAACTTATAAAATTCAATAAAAGTCACATCCTATGCATTAAGCAAGCTAGAAACAGGAAACTTACCCAGTCCCTCCATATCATCCACCTCACTCGCATCGGAGCGGCGGCCTGCGGAATGTCTGCGTGGCATGGTTTCACTTCAACTCAGCAGCGTCTCCAGCAAAAATCTGACAGAAAAAAAAGCAAATCACCTTCGTGAGCACTGTATAAGTTACTGGGTTACTGGTATATTGAATGTGAACAAAGATACCCCAAATACCCCAAAAGAAACTTTTTCTCAGACCAGGCAACTTCTGAACCACCTGTTTTGAGCTCTCCAACAAGTCCCATAATCTTACTACATGTAGCACTTTTCACAACCAAAAAATGAAACAGCTGGCATAGGGTGGCTCTTTGCAAACTATGAACTACAGAAATTACAGGATGTTTTTTTGATGAAGCTGACTTTAAGATTTTGATGAAGCCATCTAACTTACAATCAGTGGCAAGTCAGGGTAGAATACCCTATGATTACTTAAAATAAATCACAACCCGTCTACACTCTTAGTCTATACAGCTCTTTGAAAATCACCCAATTTCTACCCCCCTCCCTCTTCCAACTTCAGCTATATAGGTTACCCGATTTTGTGGCGTCTTGATCGACTTAATTCTCGTAATCAAGCTGCCGTCTAACGAGATACTGTCACCAGACCCCTTGCTGTTTCTTTGAGGCGCCGGTGTTACCTGTTTCCGACTGTTGTTTCCGAGCTTGTAACCGTACAAAAGGGAACAGGTGTAAAAAATACGGCTTCCTTTGTGAGTTCGTAACCCGAGGCGATGTCACAACAATCGCCTTTAAGGAATAATAATTGAAGGGTCATTAGTGTTACCCACGGGAAATTATTCCTGTGGTGATAGCAAATCATTATGATATGGAGTGGAGCAGCTTTTGGCCAAGACAAACGCCTTAATATGGGTAAAACGATACACGTTCCTCCAAAATGGCGACCTCGAGAAATTACCAGGTTTCTTTCTTGTGCCCGAGCCAAATTCAATCAATTATAGATGCGATTTTCTTTGTCAAATTTGCAAGTCATGCATGGAGTCTTTAGAAACCAGATTTTGCCAGTTCTCTTTGAATTTGTTAACGTTATCTGACCAGCAAAACGTGTCATGTTTTGTTTTGGGTACAGATTTTTGGCACTGAAGCTTCATGCTCAGTCACGCCGAAATATGCCTTTAGGGACCATCCTCACAGGAATATGGTAACAAGATTTAGGTATCACGCTGTCTTACCTGAAATTACGACGTAACAGACGACAAGCTCACGACAGAGGCTCTAGACAGCAAGGGTAATCAGAAATGGCGAGAAATTCTGCATAAGCATCGGTCACAACTCTGTGTCGTAGCACTAAAGCACACAAACTGTTGTCGTTGTCAAGGCGACTGCTGTGCAAATACCTCTTCAAGTCCGCATCACTGAGCAAAGAAGGCCCCAAACTAGGGTGTCCGCCGTACCGAGCTTTCTCCCTGAAAACCTGTGCCTACTTTACCGTTTGCAATACAGCCTTACGCGTTATTTTCCCAAATGGAAAAGAAAAAGAAGCCCTTTATATCTATCATCTAGAATAGTTAGGTGTTTAGTGTCATCATCTGATGGTACATTATAACTTTTACGTGATGTTTACATCAGGCAAAACATTGTAATATTGTGGTCTGTCTTGGCGGGAAATTGGCATAGATACGCTTTGTCAAATTTAAATTGCATGGCGAATTGCAAGAAGTTTGTCCTATCAGGTACAGATCTAAAATGCTACCGTTAACAAGTATATTGCAACATGCTTTATTTTCTGAAATAACATATTGCCATAAGACAATTATCATTGATAGCGCTTTCATTCTTACCAAGGAAACCATACGGAATATAACAGTTATATAGATAACGCATGATATCAATGCACACAGCATGACTTATATGCGTGACCTATTACATAGCATTATCATCCACGTGTAACAATGAAAATTGATTATCTAACAGTAAATCAATTTTATTTCATAGATGTCATACTTTCTGAGTGCTGGAAGAACAGTGGTAAACTAGCTAATTACGTACAAGGGAGAACCACGAAAATTAACCAAACAACAGAAATAACTTTTGTCAATGTTTAATCCGCTAATGAGAGCGAACATGTTGTTACGACTTAAATGAGGAGAAAGTACAAAAGAACATTATTTTTCGACATTTCTACACGACAAAAGAAAACTTCAAGATAGGATTTTATTAAATTACATATAGCAAATCCAAATGAGTGGACATAGACTGTTTCAGTAACACTACAGGCCACGGAAGTGCCTCTTGGCATAGCCGCAGAGAGCTGCACCGGGACAGTCGGTGTCCCCACTGCTGGCCCCGAGATCGGAGTGACAGTCCATGGCGTATCCGCGCCTGATCTTCCCCATCGCCACCCCACAGGCGATCAGGTTCTTCCCGGCCTCCCGGGCTGCTCTAGTCGGGAGGTTGTCTTCGAAGTACCCGAGGAAGTTGATGCCGATGGCGATAGAGTTGCAGCAGGGAGTGTGAGAGCCCCTGGAAGAGAAAGCGTCATATTCCGTGTTCAATTGACATGATGGAACTGTAACGTTATATCATAGGCACAGTCGTTCCAAACGGTTCTAACGTTATAATCATTACTAACTTATTACTACTTTATTGATTTATGATGATAATCATAGATTGGGGTATTTTACTATATTGGCAAATTGCTAATCTCCAAGAAGATAATACGGTGGCAAGGCAGTATCCATTGGCCAGAGGAGTGTCCATTAACCACCCTCTGGCCAATAGATACTGCCTTGCCACCGTATGATCTGCTTGCAGATTAAAATTGTAGCCCTGTCCTTCATTTTTCAATTATTATCCTGCTTGGCTTTTATAAAACCATTCTCACATACACTGTATATACTATGCATTGGCTGACGTTGCTATGCTGGTGCGACTGTTTGATAATGATTTAAAGCTAATTAGCCGTACATGCAGCCGAACAAAATTGCATTGCTGTCGTGGGAATTGATTTCTAGAAAATATATCTATTTCAAAGTTTTCTTTGTACGATCGCTTGTATGAAACCAATGAATTTTTGATCGTTTGGAATTAAAATATTGAATCTAAAGCTAAAGTTGACAGGAATTAAACAACTCACTTATTGTCCCATCCGCGCCCCACATACACGTTTCCGTATCCGTCGATGAGAAAGTTGTAGCCGATGTCGTCCCAGTTCTTGTCCATGTGATCCTCCTGGATTTCCCTCACCCTCTCCTCGTACTCTTCCTGGTCGCTGTACCCTCCCCAGTTGAACAGGTCCGTCCAGCGGCTGTCGCTATGGTGAATCACTACCTTCTGTGTCGGGTGGCTGAGCGGCGTGCGGGCCCGGGGCGCCGCTGCACCCCAGGCCGCTCTGCTGACCATGTTCAGTCGGCGACAGGCGGATTGTCCCAGAACACAGGCTGGGACAAGTAGCAGAACCAGGTAGAGCAGCTTCATGGTAACTACAGAACGCCGGACTCAACTTGAAAGGAAAAACTAGAACGTCCCCGCCTGCGTGAAGAAAGGTATAAAGGGGGATCTAAGTTAGAGACCAAGTTTTATATCGCTCTGCCCACTTTGATATTCCCAGGCAGACAATTGAAACGTCAAGGCGCCACTGATGATGGGCGGGCCTGGCAAACGGACAATCATCACAGTTTACTCAAGAGTAAAGCAGATAGCTAGCGATACGTGATCTCACAAATCCCTACTTATTAGAGGATCGACAGATAAAAATCACTGTTCTAGCAAACGTCGCGTGATTTTTACCCTCGTGAAAAGTCACATTTTGGACACGGAAGAGGTAGACCGTAGACATCAGATAAGTCAATTGTAATTGATATTCTGGTCACGTTTATGACCAGCCAATTGCAAAAAAAAAAGAAAGAAATACAACCTACCTTGAGAAGGTGCAAGAAGTCAAGAGTGGTCGAACGCCGCCAATGTGTGCTGAAATAACGGTACGAAGCGTCTTTTATAGTGTCCGACTGTTTCCGGTGCTTTCCTCAAACAGGAGCTTACGAACAGCACATTCAGCAAATCTGGAAGGGAGAACCTGGCACTAATCCAACCGTTAAACATTTGCACTTGGGATCTCGGTAGTCTCGAAATCCAGACAATGCCTTAAAGTTTTAGAGGCCCTGACAAATTACCATACCGTAAACGTTTATTACTTTATATCCAGACAGTCCAGAGTGAGCTGGATCCAGTGCCTCCATTGCCATAGTTACTTCTACATAACTAACGTTATATTCGTTAAATTTCTGGAGTTCTAGACTTTTGACTTCCGGTAGTGTACTGATGGGATAACACGTGTTGAAGTTTGGCGCTCGACTTCCTGGCGTCTTCTCTGTGCACGGACGGCTGGTGAGTCTTGGTCGTGTACCAGAGAGTCTTACTTCACATGTGTTCCAAGAATCCAAATACTAGTAGACAGAGCTGTAATCTGGAGCTCCACGTGCTCGAAGAATCCAAAGCTATTACGTGCCAAGATAGATAGCAGTCATTAGCAAATGAATCACCCGAGCAAAATAAGGGAAAATTTCCACTTGTAGTAACTTAGTAACTTAACCATGACTTTCAAGCTCCTGGGCAATTTCACTTTGCCTAGTAATAATATTCTCGAGTATTATTAAAATTTCATCAAATTTCATAGCACAATACTAGTTCTCTCCGCCCAACAATAGATAACACTTAAATGGCCGAAATCCATCACTCCAAATTGCCACAATGTGACACCGATTTTTTGGTGCTAGGCGTATCAGAAAAGCGTCATGGCACTACATGGGCCAGGTCCTAGGCTACACTACTGAAGTACATTTTGTATATCACCATAGAAACGTTTACACCGCGGCATCAGCTCAGCTATTAGGTTATACCACTTTTGATAGGGGCGTTATTATTCGTAATAATGTACTATCAGTGTTTCGGGACAGAGATAGTCTTAGGCCTTAATACTACTTTCAAAGCTGTCTTGTTGTCATTGGTGTATTATCTTATGACACATAATCTTCACTGTGAAATAGTATCCTCTCGTCTCGTGTTACCTTTACATTGTAGTGGTCTACTCTAAAACCAAGATGGCGGCGATTGGGAAAAGTTTTTTGGTCTTTTTAAATTCTTCGTCGTAAATCTCTCTCAATGAAGCCATTGTCATAGTAACGTGTGAATTTTCATTGTCTAGCCACTGCTGCGAGGACTATTGGACAATTTAAGAGTGTTATCACTCAGAAAAGGACATCGTGCATGTGAACAGTATGAGCTGACTTTTCTAGTGCACCTCATGATCGGTGTTGATTACTGTTGACCTCTCTCACGAAATCATGGCATCACGGAGACCGACTGCGGCCGGGAATGTGTCTCAAGCAGGCAGAAAAACAACGGATGGATCCCCACAACCTCCACAGAGTAAGCAAAGCGGATTAGTATCTTGGGTGTGTGTGTGTGTGTGTGTGGGGGGTCTACAGTCTTGTGGGACTGTCCCAAGTGAGAATGTCCGGATGAGTTACATGTACATGTATGCTCAGTTCTAATGTTAGCCTTTCATTATTGTTGTAATTCCTTTCTAGTACATTGTATTTACTTCGATTCTTGTATTTATCCCCCCCCCCCGGGAATGAACATACTATAAAGATTCTATGACCCTATGCTGTATGCACGAAAGATCACGAAGACCATAATTTGCTTAACATCTTTAAGTTAACTTAATCCGTTAACTTAATTTCTGCTTACTCACTTAATACATGTACTGCCATTCACTTTCTTATGGTGCTTTCTAGTTGTGATTTTGGAATTCAAAAGTAGAGTAGAGTCATTCGGTGGGGTAGGATAATGCATATAACTTTAGATATCTTTGCCTAAGTATACTCAGTGTGTATGTTTATAGAATGACCAAAACAGAGGAATTTCCCCAGCAGGTGTTGGAGGTAGGAGATCAGTAACAGAACCGAAAGCTTCTCAACCTCCTACCAGACCAGGTGGTACGGTCCGGTCCAGCAGTGTTGCAACTGGTCGCTCCAGAAGGACCAGGAAGGTAATTTAAAACATTTCATTTTTTGTACCAGAACTAAATGTTTAGTAGTTGCAAAATTTGACACTGATGGGTTTAGTTCTTTTCAATTTGGCATAGTCTGAGTAGTTTATGGAGATAGACGATGGAAACAGACTTACACTGTATTATACATTAAATTGTATGTTTATGTTTTTTTCCCAATCTATACATCATTTCTGTAGGAGTCAGCTGTGTATCGTCCACTGACATCATCACAGTCCCGCCGGCGCCCCACTCAACCCGGGGTGTCCCGAGCTACAGCCCGCTCCATGCAAACCATCACTGAACGATCCGACACTGATTCCATGGTGCGTGGATTGTTAATCTCATTACAACTGACAGACTGCTATCTACCACCAGTATCAAATGAATTACCTTACCTTACCTTACATGTACAATGTACCTAACATATACCTAGTCTGTAAGAAAATTAGGCAGCAAGAAATGTAGATTTTATTGTACAATAATGCTGTACCGCAGTTCATGTCTGATTTAATGACAGAATGGTATTCTGCTAAATAGTGGAAAAGTTAAAGAAATGAATAAAAACTGATATCTATCTTTGATATTTAGTACTCTTACCCCCTTGCTTTTAATAGCCAAAAAATGGGTACTTGTGTGTTCATTCTTATTCATATGAATTTAAGTACTAGTACTACGATTGTAGGAAAATTGTTATTGAATGTGTTATACTCTAGCTGGGTGTCCCAGTGGTGGAACGTCTCCGCTATGTGGTACCTGAGGATGACCCCCAGCTGCAGAGGAGGATGGGGATCATACAGAGGTACCTGCACGAGAAGAAACTCACGGCAGACATGAAGGAGCTCTGTGGGATGCTACTGAGCATGCCCGACCTGCCATATAACCCGTACCCAGGCTTTGTGAGGAGGCTCAGGAGGAACTCTGAAAAGTAAGCCTGTGCCTGATTATTAAAGATATTAGGCTTATTAAAGATATTATATATTTTTAGATCATTGCATTTTACAGGTCTCCATTTGTTTTGAAAAGTTACAAAATCACTGTCACATAAATCTTTAATAGATGATGTATACATTTTGCACAAAGTATGCTGCACACTGCACATGTATAATCAGTGTATGTGAGCATTTATTTTATTTTGTTAAGTGTAACTATTATTCTTTTCACAGATTCCACATGTTCAGAGGGGATAATGATGAGAAGATTACCCAGCTCTTAGGTATATATTTCTGACTTTATCTTTCTCTTTGATGACATTGTTACATGTTTCCTGGTTAGTGCATCACTGTCTATTCTAATAGTGTGATGTTTAGGAGTCATAACCATCTGTATCATCATACAGAGAACCCTACATATGCAACATCTCTGGGCTATGTGAATGGTGTGAAGGGTTACACCAATGTGTGGGGCCTGTCCACCATCCTACGCTGTGTAGACCCGCCGGCACTCCGCCAGTACGAGTGGCTTCTGGACGACCTGACTCCAAAAGAGTCCTCCATACACAAGGAGGAAGGTTACAGTGTATGTATATGTTTGCTATAACATGTAAGATAAAAGACACCTGTATCTCAAATCTATCCTATGAGTATGAAACATACAATGAATTTTTTTATTTATTTCATGTTCATCACAAAACAAGGCTCATGGGAGCCACTCAAATGTTTTGGGTTACTGTACAGACAGTCAGGACAGATGTTTGTTGACCTTAGACTTGAAACGTTTAAGGTTATACCCATATAGAAAGCAATCAATGCAACTAATTCTATGTTAGAAATGTTTAGTAATGTTATATAATGTATATAATGTAAGATGCCAGCAAAGTTTGGAAATTCATTGTCAACTTAAAAAGTGACCCTGTGGTTAGATGTAAATCAATTTGATAATCTAATTACAGTGTTGAACATTCAATGATGAGTTGTTTGTTTTGTGGTTGGTTTTCAGTGCCAGGTTCTGATGGCCCTGGTTGGTCAAAGTGTGTTCACCAACACATTCTACCCCCATCCTGACATGGTGACAGTCAGGGTCTCCTATGTGTCGGTAGGACCAGATGCTGAACAGGTAAACCTGGTCACTACCATTCATCTAAAAGATCTGTTTTGTTAATACAATGTATAAGACAGTACATACAATGTACGTACGGTACATACGGTAGTCTCTTCATATACTACATGTAGGGTAGACTAGCTTCTTTGAATTGTGGTATAGGTTACCATACAATGTATTGTATATGTAAGATATTCCATGATATACTTGTTAAGATATTACTGTAACATTTCTTATATTCCTTGTTTGGGTTGTTTTTCCAGGGAATTTCTATGTTTGTTGATAGTGTTGTGAACGATGTCAACAACATGGACAATCAGAACACTCATGTCTATTTTGGTAAGTCATGCCTTCACTCGCTTGTAAGGTGCCTTGAAATTATATAGTGCATAGAGATGTGATGTACAATTCCTCGCTAGATCTGTATGTCATGTAGGCATTGGGATATTCATTTCTGATTATAAAGATGTACACTACATTGTTGCAGGTGTCAGTGTTCCAACTAAGGATGAGGAGTTCCCTGGCCTGTGGGATAACGTCTTCTGGGACCAAGAGATGGTGCTGAATAACCAGGTCAGTAAAGAGGGCACAGTTCAGGGGTCACAGGTCGGAATGATAGGTCAAGGTCAGGCATTAAATGAAAGAAGAGAAGAGTTTCACATCAGCCAATTATTGTTGTATATATTGGCAAGTTATCCTTTTACAATATATCTAATGTTATTATCAAGGTTAGGGGTTTAGAATGGATACTGCTTTTTAAGGCCATGCCTGTGATGCTGTTTTTCGATGTTTAACAATTGTTTCTGCAGTTACATTTCTAAACTGCATGCTTTATTTCCAGGCTGATTTCTGGCATGCTATATCTGAAGCAACAATCAACAATAAGATGGCTACTTTTGAGGTAAGGATTCCATGTGCTATCTTGTATTGCTTTAATGTATACCATATTCA